AAAATTAACTCTATCCCAGCCAAAACCAGGACAAACCTAAAAGATCAGGTTGAAAGCTAATCCAGTGAAAACATTAGTTTTCAGCCAGATCAGAAAGCTGGAGTGCAGCTGTGCAAGCAGAATAATGAAGGTGGAAAATGCTTCTCTTTGAGGGGAGGGAAAAAAGTAGTACTCCTTCAGCTGTCCAGAACTGGAGTGGACTTGATTTGGGTGAAGAAGGGGAGAGTTAGCAAACTTTTCTTCTGAAGAAGAAAAAACAGACTTCAGACACAGTAGCTGTTCTTGGATTTTTCATTATCAGAAATGTATTGACAAACTGAAGGGAGCAGAGAGGTCTGTGGATGTCATTGAGGGTTCTGACAAACTGATTTCCCTTGCAAAAAAATTGTAGGAATTAAGTATGAGTGACTTGCAGGCATAGGCAAAGAGCAGTCAAACCCAAAAAGAGGCAAAGATGTAAAGTATGCTAGCATGCAGTAAATGATCCTAGAGTACATAACTGGAGGGTACTGTGAACAGAACAGTTCAATGTGTTGCTTGAACTTGTTTGCCTTGAGACTAGACGCATAGTCTGTCAAGAAAGTATGATCTCCTTGAGAATCATACTTCTGCCTTGTGGACATGAAGAAACTTGCACAACAAAGAAAGCTACCTTGTTCTGGGAGCATAGATGAAACAAGTGCTTGATCTATTTATTTTTAATAGCTTGCCAACAGCTGGTGGGTTTGGTCAAGGAGACTTGTCGTCCTTTTATCCAAAAAGCAGTCTCCCCAAACCAAGCTGTTAAATTCAGAAGGACTGTATATTGCTGGTTGTATAGCATATTTGTGCATTTGTTCTCTGCACATTGTTAAATCATTTCTCCCTTTGGCTCTGTATTTAGCATAGTAAGCACTGCAATTAAGACGGCATTTCTAGCAATTTCTGGTTTGTCCTTATATGCATAGTTTTGAAATTGAGAGGAATGAGCACAGCTTTTGCCTCCTCAATCTGACTAGGTGATACTAAGCAACTGTTATGAGACAGAATGCTATCCTTAATATTTGATGTCTAAAACACTGACTTCTGTATATGGGGTTGTCTGACTCTGGAGGAAGTCAAGGGCTTGAATACTTCTAGCTTTCTCATCACGACATTGGCATTTATCCTTGCATTTATTTTTTTCAGGGTGCAGGACAGGTGAAGCTAAACTCACCAAAGGATTTAATTTAGCTGCACGTTTCATCATTCACACGGTGGGACCCAAATACAAAAGCCGGTATCGCACAGCAGCCGAGAGTTCTCTATACAGCTGTTACCGCAATGTCCTGCAGCTTGCAAAGTAAGCACACAACAACTTACATGAGGGTTTGCCATCCATGGCACGTCTGTTCTAGATACTTGGGTCTGCACAGAGGCCAAATGGCTGTGAATATCTTCTGATATATAGTGGATTTGGTTAAAGACATGAGAACATTAGTGGCTTCGTGGTATACTTCGTGTCTTTTGTTATCTGTGTTGCAGTGTAGATAAAATGTGCAGAGAGATCTGATCTGGTTCAAGTCCTGAAACAGTGTAGCTAGAGCTGTGCAGCATTCAGTTATTCTGAGGAGAAGAAATATTGATAATTGGATCAGTTTCCATGCTGCAAAAAGCTTGAAATGAGCTTGCTCAAGCATCAACTTCATGTATCACATGGACATACCCACAGGCAGGCCTGACTGGTGTATCAGTTCATACATTTGGCCTCTCTGCCTTTGTACAACAGCCATCTAAATTCTGAGTCAGGGCGCGAGGTCATTTCTAAATCCACAGTTGCTGAAGATGGGTTTGTAGTTTTTCCTCTCTCCTCTGTGGTGTTTTCTACTTCCTCTTAGCTAACAGTTTTTTTTCTTTCTTTCAATTTTTCTGTGTTCTTTCCTGTATGCTGCTCTCCTGTGACAGTTGTTGTAATGGTAGCTATCACAAAAAAATACCTGAACAAGAGCAACGTCAGAAAATATACTTAACGATTTCTTAAGGTTGCGAAGAGCAATTCTTCCAAGTCTGGACTGTCCGTTACAGTGCAATAGTAACTGTTTCATAATCAAGACTACAGCTAAGGTTCCTAGTATTTGCCAGTTTTGTTCTGCCTCAGAAGTAACAAGCAAAGTCAGATCTGGATTGAAACATGTTAAAACCAATTAAAAATTCTAATAATTTTGCTTACTGAATTTTGAGTGCCTTTCAGTCAATCTAGTCTCTGCTGGAAGCATCTTACTGATCTTGAAGTATGTATCACTTCAGGCCAATGATTGTCTAATTGTACCTAGGATTGGGTAAGCCACCTCTGTGTCCAGACCTCTAACAAAACAAGTGATAGGTCAGGTGGAGGAACAGGAGAATGTTTGCAATAAAGAGCACCTTCTTTTCCCCTCCTTCTCCTCACTGTCAATCCTATACAGGAAGGAAAGTATTTTGGAAAGGATTGCAGGGAGCTTGAGGCAAGAACTTCTTCATTCAGGATATGAGAAATTGCAGGAACAATGTAGCTGAGGTAGAAGGAGAAATCTGAGAACAAACACAAGAGGAAACAGTGTGGAATCATTAATGGTTCCCTCCTCCTCTGCTTAATGATGGTATGTATGCATCTTGCCAGGAAAGAATGCTTCTGCACAAACCTGAAAGAGGGTTGCTGCTGTATAGAGGGAGGAAAAAAAGTACTGGTGTTACCTACTGTACTGACAGACATTTGTTCTCATCTGACCTTCTGTTCATTTGTTTTTCTTTCTTCTGGATTTCAGGGAACAGGCAATGTGCTCTGTAGGATTTTGTGTCATTAATTCTCTGAAAAGATGCTACCCCTTGGAGGATGCAACCCACATAGCACTGCGTAAGTTTGTTGGGAAGTGACGTAAACTGGATGGCAGTATTCAGCAGATCACTTGCCTCTGACAGACTGCAGTTGATATGGGGAAACCCTTTTTTAAGGGGGTTGTAGTTTGTTAGAGGCTGTGAAAAGGCAAGGCCTTCCATGGTTGATCAGGAAATGGAAGATAAAAACAAATGATCCTTTCTCTGAGTGGTCATCAGTAAAGATCCATGGGAATCTGTTCTGCAACTTGTAGTCTTCAATATATTCATTAATAATCTGGAAAAGATGCTGAACAGTGAGGTGAGAGTTTGCTAGTAATAGAAGATTGTTCAGAATAGCAAAGATGAGGCCTTACTGTGAATAGCTGTAGGTGGACCTCGAGCAACAGAGTGAATTTCATCTGCCATTTTAGTGTCCATCAGTATATCCAAATGTAAAGTGACATTCTTCCCCCACTGACCCACCCCTATATGCTTCTGCCTTAACATGCAAAATGATGGCCTAATCCTAGGGAGCAAAATCTTGAGATTATAATAGTTCCATGAAGACAACAGCTTGCTGGAGTTCAAAACAGTAAGCTAAGGAAGACACAACAAAACTAAGAATGTTACACTCTAAATCTGTTTTGTCCACCCTTTAAAGCTGCACACTCAGAAAGATTATAGTAGAACTAGAAGCTGAGAAGGTCAACAAGAATAGGGAAAGGCAAGAAATAGCTGAGTAAGCTAAAGTCTTTTTCAAACTAGAATACACAGAACTTGAAGGGAGCATGATAGATGTCTATAAACTCATGGGTGGTATGGTAATGGTGAATAGGAATCAGCTGTTCACAGTCTCCCAAAATAAGAACCTTCAAACAGTGTTAATATGAATCAGGTTCAGAATAAACAAGGGGAAATAGTTCTTTATGCTTACACTATTTGTTTTATGGAACTTCTTACCAAACAGTATTGTAGATGCTAAAAGCTTTCAAACTTGTTTGGGTTCAAGAGGAAACTATATTAGTATTTGAAAATAGCTCTTTTTTTTCTTCCTCTGAACTGCTCTTTCTTGAAGAATTCTAACATATTCTCTGTAGAGTGGACTTCTTTCCTTTATTGCTCTCTTCTGTTGTCTCTGTAGGGCTATATGCTACTTGATAAAATACTGCTAGACCAACCTATTTGTTTGGACACTTTCTCTCTTGGCAGTCTGACAGGAAACCACTTGAAAATCCTGATGTGTCAAGATTATTGCAGCTCAAGGACCTCGTCTGTACAAGGACATGTCTGACTAGGAGCTTGGTTACAAAACATTTTTTTTTTCCCCCAGCTACAGATGTTTAGGAACTCGACTGCATCCCTGGATTATGCTAAAGGTTTTGGGGGAAGTCCAAAAAAAGTAATAGAGGAAATAAATTATCTCATGATTTACAAATATAATTTTTATATGCCTCTCTTGGCATAGCTGACCCCAGAGGTTTTTTGTGGCTGACTCTGTCTTGTATCAGCTTCTGCTGTGGCTTGCTTATCATCTTGCTTTCCTGGTAGCTTAGGACCCAATGACTTGTTCTAGGAATACCTGGTTTTGGCAATTTCTACAAATATCTGGTTTTGGCAATTTGCACAGGACTCTGTAAAGGAAGAATTTGGCTTGATTTTGCAGGGCCATAGAAACACATTCCACAGACTGAGGAATACCTAGTAAGCTAAAATCAGAGAGACACGACTTCTTTCTTTGTACCCGTCTCTGAAGTGAGAAGCAGGAGAGACGAGATGGAAATTCCAATATGGCCAACAACCCATTCGGTGTGTTAAAGTACCACTTAATTCACACTTGTGTACAGCCTGTGGAGCTGTTTTGTATGAGGAGAGAGATGTGTCTCTATTCTGCACTCTGACTTCCTTACTTGTAGTCGTGTGTGTAAACTTCTCCTCCTGTTTTTCTAACTACATTTAATCTTCTTCCTTGCAGGCACAGTTAGAAGGTTCCTGGAGATTCATGGAGAGACTCTGGAGAAGGTGGTGTTTGCAGTCTCTGAGCTTGAAGAGGTATCTCCTTGATGTCCATTCCACCAAAATTCATGGGCATGTTTGATCTTCTCTGCAGTAGTATTAACTTCTGCATTGTAGAGGTGGATTTGGATTTCCCCTTCAAATCATATAGACTTTTGGTTCCACAGCATCCTTCTGTCTCCTACTAGCACAGCATCTTTTCCACTACTGTTTATGCTCTTAGCAGTCACTATGGACATGTTCAGAATCTTTCCACTTCTGGTTTTCATGTTGCTGAGCCATGAACAGGAACCAGTACTAGAGGTTATAGCATGCGGTTGTGCTGAATGGTACCTGCCAGCCAGAAAGGAAATTCCTCATACAAGATTTCCTCCTTACACAATGCTGCTTCCCATGTGCTTTAAAAAGGCCAGTTTAGCATGCCCACAGATCACCTACAAACATCTTAAACATTGCTTGCTGGCTTGTTGAAATAACAGGCTTGACATTTAATGATCTGTGTTCAGACAGATATTAGCAGTTTGAACATTGACTTCTCTTGTATATCAGACTTGCTAATGGCTGTTCCTGGGCAGAACACCCACACTGTGTTCAGGGTCTGTGGCATCTGGATGAGGAAAATAACTAACTTGTTGGGGGTTCTAAAACTGCTAATCAGTTGGAGAGAACACATGAAGTATTACAATGTTCAGTAGAGATTTTCACTATTTTCCTCCACATGTGGAGGGTTTATCTTGGTTGGTTGTTGCTTTTTCTTTTTTCCCACTCAGATCACTAAAGGTGATCTGTGTAGTGGTGCATGTTAATATTAGTAGCGTTTGCTGAAGTCTGTCATCCATGCATGTTGTAAATTCGTTACAAAGCTAAAGTATCTGCAAATCTACCTGAGTTCATGCAGTAAAGCAGAGTCCTCTCAAGGTCATTTGCCAGTGTGGCAAAAAAAAAGTATCTGCCTTTATTGCCAGGTAGCAGCCCAAAAGAAGCCACTGAGGGAAGTGGTACTTTGCCTCCAAACCTCTGAGAAGATTCCTGCACTTAACTGAAGAGCAACATGCATGATAGACCTTCACGCATTTTTTTTATTTGTAGGCCACTTACCAGAAGTTGCTGCCTCTGTATTTTCCAAGATCCTTCGAAGAAGAGATACAATCCTTGCCTTACCTCCCTGCAGATATTGGCAATGCAGAAGGGGAGCCTGTAGTACCAGAGCGGCAGATCAGGATTACTGAAAAGCCGGGTGTTCCTGATGGTGAGTTCTTAACTGAACCTTGGAATAAGTATCTCTGTATGAAAGTCAATGGTAAAACAGGAAAGTCACATGGGAAGCAAAGAGATGTCTTCCCACCTCACCCAAGGCAGGCTGTGATGAAGAGAGTTACCAAGCTGCCTCATTGGCTTCATGTGTTCCACAGCAGTAACTTCTGCTTTCTGCTTCATTGTGCAGAGTGGTGTGGTTAGAGGATGTGACAGAGCTGTTGTTCTTTTTCTTTCTTGGGGAGAGAGGTGCGGTAGTTCATTCCCTTTGCAAATTTTCTCCCGAGGTGAATAGGAACTTTGCAGGTTTTTTGCAGAATCTCGTGCAGCCCATTATTGTTAATGGCTATCTTATCTATTAGTAAAACGTTGCTTATATATTAGCAAATGTTGTCTCAAATGATTCTGTTGACACACATGTGCATCAAACTAGTAGATGCTCAATGAAAACTAGCAGAAACTCCTTAAAAGACAGAGGAACTAGATCAACCCAGAGATCGGTGTTTGGGAAATGGCTGTCAAAGCTCAGTGAAAGAATTCTGTTTGTAAAGAGGTTGCCTAGATGTCAGGGTTGAGGAGGTGAGAAACATGTAGCAAAACAATTTAATATATAAATGAGCAGAGCTGGCATGTTCTGCCTTATTTATTAAGCAGTGCTGTGAAAGTTTTACATTTCTTGAGGCAAAGCCTTAAACCATCAAAAGCAGATAACTTGGAATGGGTTTCAAAGGTTTTCTGCTTTTGCATGGCCAATTGGGATAAGGCTGAATATGGAATGAGGATACAGACAACTTAATTTTCATGTTCACAGTTTGATACCTGATGTACCTACTCCTGCTGATCAGACCCCAAATTTCTTCCCCCCCCATCCAAACTGCTGGTCGAGTGGTATTTACAGCTGTGGCTCATCAGCGTGAGGCATTCAACCACTAGCTAATAATTTGTGAAATTACTGGGTTTGCATATGTAGGAGCAAATGGGTGTAGCAGAATGCTGCACTGTTGTCCCATTGCTACTACAGGATGTCACGCTAAAACTGGGAAACTCAATTCCCAGATTGCCCAGAGAGGTAGTGCTAGAAGCCTTAGCAATATTCACTGATGACATCAAATTCAGTGGAGTATTCTGGTATTGTCACCAGCAAGCGAGCCTGTGCTCTTGTACTTGATCACACAGTCACGTTGTAAACAATACTATAAAAATATTCAAACTCGGGTTACCACCAGCTCTACAGCATCTGTTCAAGCAGCGTCAATGATATAAAAAAAGTGAACCCTTTCTACAGAACAGCTTCTAAACTGAGTAAAGCTGCAGTATCTGTCCTTCTGCATGCTTTTTTTTTTCCCCCCTATGACAAGTAGGACAACTGTAAAGCACAAGTCTCTCTCTCCAGACCTTATTTTCTGAGGGAGTTAACCATTATCCTTTTGTTACAAGCTGATGACTAGGACTTGCCCAGTTAGTTTCCAGGCAAACCAACATTTTAAGGGAGTCCATAGTTACCAATCATACACCATAATCTGTCAGTGGTACTGGTGAGATATGAGAGCCACATCATGGTACATTGTGGTTTTTTGTGTTAGTTTGTAGCATGACTGGGTTGGCTCAGTGGGATATATAGTGACATATATTCCTCAGCAGCATTGCTGTCTTGTCCACAGCTTGAACATGTTATACTACCTTTGTTTCTACTGCAGATGCTTCAGATGAAGAGGGTCTGGAGGCAGATTTGTCTTTCATTGGTTCCCATGCTTTTGCCCGCATGGAGGGAGATGTTGATAAACAGAGACGCCTCATCCTTCAGGGACAGTTGTCAGAGGCAGCACTGCAAAAACAGCATCAGAGGAAGTGAGAATTTCCTTGTCCGTGTGAATGTTTTGCATTAGTTAGCTGTTCAGAGGGCTAATCCTTGTGATGACTTTGTTATCTGTAAAGCCTAATCTTCTCGAAAGGAAATACAGATAAAGCCTGGTGTCACCCTGGATCGCTGTGGTAGCCTCTGTGGCCTGAAGGGAGAAGGGAAGGGGCAGTAGGAGGAAGAGGGAAGCTGGCGATGAACCCACTAGCATACCCAGTGCATCTGATTAGCTACCTTATCTCTTTGCCACAAGATGTCACTGTTTTGTCACTGCTTTTTGTAGTGCGGTCACCTGCTTTCGATACTGCCCACCTGCTCCTGAGGCTCTGGGCAGATAGCAAAACATTTTTCTTCTGTCTTTCAAACCAGAAAGATAAATAAATGAATGCTGAGGCTTTTTCTTCCCTCCCCCGCATCCCCACCGCTAACCCTAATGTGCATGATCACTTTCTTAGAGGCCAGTTCCATGCTGGAGTCCGCTTGAGGCATGATGCTTGGCATGTTTTGTCAGATGAGGCACTAAGCTGTTCACCATTCAAAGGGAAAAAGAAAAAAAATCTGTATGTTGACACTGGCTGCTGCGTAGTTGCATTCGACTTACAGACTTTTTAAAGAAATTTTCTTTTTTTTTTCCCCTACTTTGTAAACACTGACACTGAGGTATTTTAAATGGAAAAAAACCTCTGAGATCTTTTCAGCCCAAATGCAATGCCACTATAGTTACTAATTGGAGTGTATTCATTGCCCTAGTGAAAATCACTAGGTATGTAACTAAGACACTCAAATCTGCCCCCTGCCCCACAGCACTTCTTTCTTTAACAACTTGATAGTTGCTTCATAGGTCAGGAAACCATAACACTAGAGAGAGGGCTCAGTCCGAAAGAGCTTGTTTTGTCCTTCCCTTCCCATATACCTCTTCAGGCTTCTAATGCTAATCTAAAGGGGGATTAGATCTGACCAGATGTTTTTAACTTTCTAGTTATAATCGCTGGCTGTGTCAGGCAAGAGCTGAAGACCTCTCTGATATTGCTTCTCTTAAAGCTTTGTACCAGACAGGTAAGTTCAGGGTACTGATGACTGATGTATATTGTCTGGAAGTAAAAATACAAATATAATATTTTCTTTGGACTTGCGTATACAATAAGTCATGTTATTAAGCTAAAAGCCTGGCCAAGAACTAGGCAACATCTTGGCAGTAAAGCAGGAATTCTCTCTTGATTGGTTTTGAAAGACTGTGTGGTAAACTCCCAAACTGCGCTGCTTTAATAATCTGAGGATACATACATATCCTGAATTACCTGTAGCTTCAGATGTAAATCAGTACTATTAGATTAAGCCAATGCATAAGGTGCTTTGTATCAGATCATCCAGATCAAAAGAACTATCTTCACCCTTTTGTTACAAAGAAATTAATGTTGCCTTTGGATGATTAGTTACCAAAGCAACTTTTAATGTAGCTTTCCTGAACAAAATGGCTTGCTTTATTTCACTGGGGTTAGGTATGTTTTGCTCTCCTCTGTATGTGTCTCCTAGTACAAATGGCTGAGTATCATGGGCAGCACATCTTCCAACCTTGAGTTCAGTAGATGGGGAGATTAGGGAGAAATTCAACAATGCAATGGAGAGTTCAGTGGAAGAAAATAGCTTGCAGCCTGGGAAGCAGAGATGGGGAACCTGTACTCTTCAGTTCACTTTTGCTCTTCAGGTAGCATCATACTTGGACATAAAAACTTGACATAGTCCCAGTCCCTTATTGCTGCTTTGCGCCATGACAGGAAGAAACAGGCAAGTAGTCAGGCTCTCGAAAGCATAGCTGTGTTTCTGCAGGGAAGGTCTGTTCAGCACTTTGTCTGATATCTTTGGCCTCCTGAAAATCCAGATACTTACCTTGATCTTTGTACAAATACTAAGGCTGTCTGATACCTTCTACTCAGTAGCTGCAATTTTAAATTCTTTTGTTTGCCTTAGACAAGACTCTGTGGGCTGCGGGAGGTCCATAAGGTGTGCTCTGGGAATCTGTGCATTAGATTTCAGAGCTTAATTTCTAGGAAGAAGTTTGCTTTGGTGGTAGAACTCCAAATGAAGGGTTTGTTTGGTTTTTTTTTTAAATGAAAACCATGTTATGACTTGAGATTTAGGTAAATGTGGAGTACACAGTCAACATAAAAATTACAGTCATTAAGACTTAAGTTCCTCAGATGTGATGCACCCTTTTTTGGATCAGAATAGCGACTGGTATAGTGAGAACAGTAACTCTAAGCATATTCCCTCTGTGCTTAAGATGGAAACCAGCTGCATTGCAAAAATTCTGAGCTGTGGCTGGTTGTCCCTGGTTTGGAAGGGACCAACTCCAAAACCTGGCATGACTGAGAAGTTTAGAGACACATTTTTCTTTCTTTTGTAGGTGTAGATAACTGTGGCCGCACAGTGATGGTGGTAGTTGGAAGGAATATCCCTGTAACATTGATCGACATGGAAAAGGTAAGGCTTTGTAAAACTAGAGTTGTGTAGGTTGCATATGCATGTTCAGGATGTAAGAGTCTGATTATAAGGGTAATTCAGTGTTAATACTAGAAACATTATCTGTAGAAGACTTAAAAGAGATTAAATAAAAACTATTTTTATAGACAGATGAAAATGTATTCCCTTATACAGCTTTGTGTGTGTTTGGGTGGCTTTTTTCAAGGAGGAACTGGACTATTTTTAGAAAAACAGGCCTAACATGGACTCCTTTTTCTTTTCAAGAGGAGAGAGATTTGCCCTCCTTCTATAACTGCCAAGACATGAGGAGTTGAAATGTAACAAGTCAAATTAGTTTTTCATGGAAACAGCAAGGATTTATCTCCATCGGTGAGGTCAGCTAGACAAAAAAGACATCTAAGTTATTACAGTCAAGTTGAAGACTTGGAATGTTCACCTTGCTTTTGTAGCTGAAACATAATGCCACCCAGCCTCATGAATCCTGATTTGTGAATGACTTGAAGTGTATTAAGATGTAATGCAACTGTGAAAGAGTTCTTTCCAAATACAAATTTCTTTCCTTTGTCTCAGGCTCTTCTGTATTTCATCCACGTCATGGATCATATTGCAGTGAAGGAATATGTCCTGGTGTACTTCCATACACTCACAAATGATTACAATCAACTAGACTCTAATTTCTTGAAGAAACTCTATGATGTTGTTGATGCCAAGTGAGTGTCAATAGGAAAGGGACCCCTTCTGGTCTTCCTCTGTGCTATGCAAATGTTTGTCACTCCCTGTATCTGGTTTCCCATTTATTTGTGAGAGTTTTGCTGAGACAAAGACCTAAATAAATAACAAAGGCAGGAGGAAGGAAGATATGTTTTCTTTCCTTCTCAGAACCATCTATCAAACCAGGAAGTTCTGTGCTCTGCAGTCTCACTTCTGGAGCTGTTAGAGGGGCATACTGGGTGTATTAGCACCATGCTCTAACCAACTGAGCTAATTGTCTGTCTCTATCCAGAGGTGGAGCTTCTGGAGCCTGGCATTGTTAAAAGTACATTGCTAGTTGTGAGGGAGGAGGCTTGGGTAACGTTGGTAGTCATAATTTGTCCATAACTTTCACTGTCCACATAAAAGATGGCAGGCTATTATGTCTTTACCTGAAAAATAACCATGCTGCTTTTTTTCCCCTTTACATTTACTTTTCTGGTATCTTCCCATATATTAGATCTAACTTTGTAAAATTACAGCACAGGCACTTAAGCAAAATTATCTATGTTTTGATTGTTGTGTTATGTAGGTGAGCTTGATTAGAAGTCACTTTTAAAGAGCTTTCTCTTTGTTTAAACCAGGTACAAGAGGAACTTGAAGGCACTGTATTTTGTCCACCCAACATTTCGTTCAAAGGTGAGGTATATAGTCCAAAAGAAAAGAATGTTCTGGGTGTTGGTGGGGTAGCATGTGAGACTGTAGTATAAGGAACATGGAGGTATGTAGAAGACTTTCAAAAATAGGCAGTATCTCCTGGATCTGCGGTCCGAACTTGAAATTCATCCCCATCTTTGATCTAGCTGTAGCCTTCCAACCTTAGTGATAAGCTGAAGTCCAATGCAGTGCAGCTGTCTGTGCCTTGTTCTGCATGTGCTCCTAACAGAGAGAGGTGGAAGCTTTGGATCTCGCTTTTTTCAAAGAGAAACATTTTGTCCTGTTTTCCGGCTGTCTGTTTGGCAGGATGACAAACCATGACCAAAAACTCTTAGAATTCTTCTTTGCATAGTTCATTTCCTGGATGTTTTACCTTTTCTGTCCCCGTGAGAGGTATTGCATGTGTGTTGCATATCACTTAAGAGCTGCCTTTGTAGGGGCAGAGGGCAGTGTGTCAAGCAGCAGAGATTAGTCAGGATTATAGAGTGTAGAGTAGCAAATAAAGATGGGAAGAATGCCTTTGACATGGAGTGCAGAAAAATCCTGTTAAGCCTTCAGGAGATGAAAAATGGAACTCGTCAAGCAGTAAGATATTAACCTTGACTATGATCGGTGTGGGGCAACAGAAGATGGAGCTCGCTCCCTTCTCTACTTAATACACACTACTCATATTGCAGCAGTATGAGTACTTCATATGAACTAAGTGTCAGCAGCAGCCCTTCCTAAAATTTTTGTTTGTCCTATTAAAACAGTTAGAAATGTGGTCCTCCGTGTTCACATCAGATTAACCTCTGTGTTTATTCTGCTTTTTGCTGACATTGATCAAGTTTGAGAAAATTATATGCCTGCAAAAAACATCTGTTTGCACATGTTCAGCAAGAATTTCTTTGCTACATTTCCAAAGAGTCCTTTCTTTTCGTGTGCACAGATGGGGCAGCATGAGACTTAGAGCTTCCTTGTTTTTATGTAGATGAGACTGAGTCTTCCCAACAGCATACCTTCCAGTTTCTGTCAGGATATTGATTATTCCCACAGGATACAGATCTGAGGTCTGAGTGGCTAGAATTAGAGCTTCCAGCTCTGATGCCTCTGAAGATGTAGGAGCTAGCATAGAACATTACTAAGGTCACAAAGTTGAGCGGAAAAAGTTGAAGCTAGGAAGTACTAGTGTTTTAGATTCCCAGCAGCACTTTATCCCCCTCCTCTCTTACCATGCATTTCTATTTGGTTGAGAAACATTTTTTTTGTTGGAGGATGAGAATTCGCGTTCACCAGTCCATTGCTGTGTTCTCTGTCCCTTTGGGAACTGCAGTGGGACTCAGCAGATCTGTGGGGCAAGCAGATAGTTGGTAGGAAGCAGGGAAGGTGGGAGACGTAGAGCGCTCTAATTTGCTGGAAACAGAATTGGTTTGTAGCCTATTCTAGCAGCACAGCTGGAGGCAAAAGAGGATGTGTGTCCGTGTCTTTGTGCCAAGTCTTTTCCCTAACTGAAAGGCAAGTGGGATTGCTGCTGGCTGTTGCAGAGACCATCAGGTTATGAAACATGATGGGGAACATGCATCAGAAAGTCCTGGTGGAGAAGGTGGCTGCTAAGAGGGAATGATTTTTCTCTCCCCTCCTTTTTTGGCTATTTCAAGGTGGTTTTCCCTGTGGGATGTTGCTAGCCCAGAAGCCTCAATTCTCTTAAAAAATGTTTGGCACACTCATCTTCCTACTTGAAGCATTAACTTCATTCCCTAGAAATAATGTAAAATACCCCATGTCTCAAATGTAGGAGGAAGGCTTGTGCATGCATGCAGCTTCCCAAACCCATCACCCTTGTACATGTATCTCATTCTTAAATCTCTGATATAAATGGCCCATTTTAGTGTGGTATCGAATCCTGGCACAGTGGATGTCAGCCATCTGTTAGAGTCACATTGCTTATTTCTGGGCTAAAAAGGGATCAAGAGGCTTTTCATCATGCCTCTTGGAAACTCATGTGCCCCTAGAAAACAAGTGTAGTTCTGAAAGTGCTTCATAGTGCCAATGACAATTCTTTGTTTGGTTTCTAGATGTGAAACTTTTAAATTATGTGTATTCTGAGGATAACTGCCTTGTCTAGAATGGTTTTCAGTATGCAGGGAGGAGGGTTCAGAAAAACACAGAGTAACTGAAGCAGGGTATGTCACTGCATAATCTGTTTTTGTACACTAATCCTCCTTTATTCATGCTTCGGTGTGAGCATTCTTGTGATCTGTGACGAACTTGATTCTCTTGTAGTGCTGCTGAAATGTAACCATTCTTATGATGAAATCACATCATAGGCAACAGCAGCTTTTTAGGCTGGCAGCAACTCTTGCAGTGTGAACACTTCACCACCAGGACTTAGATTAAGATGCCCTTGCAGTGCTATCACAAGTTCCTTCATACTCTTGTGTGTAAATGTACTTCTGCTTGTTGTTGCTATAGTTGCCGATATATAAATAAAGGGCAATTTGGGGCATTTTTGTGTGAAGCCTCTCAGGTCCCCTCTTCTGAGGTCTCTCCAAACAAAGCTTTATAGAGCTTATTGTGTTCTGAGTGAAGTGTCAGTAGCTGGATCAGAAACAATCTTGCCCAAAGAAATCCTGTTTTCATAAATTTACTAACTTGGCTGTGAATCAAGAATGTTTCAAAACTGAAACATACCTGAATACTCAAATTAGATATTCATAATCATCATAATCTTTATTTTTATCATGAATGATTTTTGTCCTGTTTTTCTGTAACAGTCATGAAGGCAGTTTCTGGAGATCAGATGCCAATCTAAAGGTTGTTGCAATTCACTTATGACTTTTTCTACACAAGATCCTTCCAATTGTACTAAAATTTCCCAGATTTTAGTAAGTTTCTCTTTGGGTATGACCCAATTAAGAGATTAGTGACACACTTTATCTGTGTTGTGCTGGTTTTTTGAGGGAAAGACATCTGATACTTTAACCCTGTGGTTTTCTAGCTTGGCAGAGTGACTTTGATAGCCTTTTATCTAGATTTGGAATGAGTACAAGAAAAATGAAGGAAAACTTCAGCAGACAACTAGATTTTTAACTTTTTTGACTGTTCTGGTATAACTTACTCTACTTTCAGTGCATTAACAGGGATTTGGTTTAATTTAAAGTTCTCTGTTCTCTTACCGATAAGGAAATGGCTGCTCTTGTATTACTGTTTCTATAACCTGTGATTATTGAGAATGGAGATAATAGAAAAATTCTCTAGAAACATTTCATAGAATCATAGAATGCTTTGGGTTGGAAGGG